GATGGATGGATGGAGAGAGAGAGAGAGAGAGAGAGAGAGAGAGAGAGAGAGAGAGAGAGAGAGAGAGAGAGAGAGAAGTGTAAAATTGAAAACTAACAGACTGAAAGGGTCTTTTCTTCAGCTAGACCCTAATAGGAACCCTAAGGGTCGAATACCTTTCAATATTTTGATGTTCTTTACATTTTCTTTAGTACTGCTTTTTATGTAGTTGTCTTATTTAAGAAATCAGATCATGCTTTGCTTTCACATTCGTCAGCAGCAGGATTGACAAGTATATTGTCTGAGAAAAATCAAAAGTGATTTTGAGAGGTTCATAGAGAAGTCAATCTCTGATATCCAACCCCCCCCCCAAAAAAAAAAGCAAAAAAAAAAGCAGTTAAGGTTAGGGTGACTAATCGAAACCACCCAAGACTGATTTTAATGTTGAACTATGACAATAAGAACTTTTACTCAAAAAGTTCGTCTGTTGGGTATAGCGGTTTCATAGCTCTCTGAATTTTTTTTTTATCGGAGATGGACACTGGCTCTTAGATGCGACTTGTCTTCTCCGCCAAGTGACCTAACACTTCGCCGCACCGTGCGACGAGATGAAATTTTCCTAGTTTCTGCGGGACCTAGCTCATCAAAAAACTATTCACAACTATATACTTATATCAACTACACCCCTTTGATTTCTACTATATTACTCTACATTAATATCATTTTATGCCACAAAAGAACACCAGGGTACAAGGCAAGAGGAAAACCAAGTAAGACATGGATCGAGGGTGAGAAGGATACCCTGAAAACACACATCCTACCCAGCCAGACCATCCAGCTAGCTAGAAACAGAAAGCTCTTTCTCCCCTCAACGCCCTAGAGGCACAAGAGGAGGACAACGTAAAGTAAAGTAAGTATGTCACTCTATTATATCCAACGAATTTTGTCCACTTTTTACCTTGAAAACAAGGGTGAGGGCCACGACTGCACACAAAACCCCCATCACAGCGGTGGCACTAATGAGCACTTTCTTTCGCCCAAACCTAGGTAGGCAGAAAACAGCGATTATGTTTCCTGCTAAGAGGGCCAAACCGATGCCAGAGGTGGCGTATTTCGCCTCTTTCCCCACAAATCCGGCGTCTCTGAACATAGAGTTGGAAAACAAAAGGATCTGAGGAGGGAAAGGGTATGTAAATATATGTAAAAGTACTTATTCATGTTTTAATTACAAAGTCATCGACACATATTATATTTAGGAGGCGAGCTGCTTCGATCTTGTATGTCAGGGCTAACCCGGGCTCCGAGGAATGAATAGAATTTCTTAGCAGACTAACCGAGATACTCGTTTAGAAAAAAAAAGAAATCCTACTTAGAAACAGAACTTACGTCTTCTGGGTGTAAAGGTAAGGCACCTAAACGCTACGCATCAGACGCGGTGATAGAAAATCAAGGGAATTAAAATAAAATGTATAAAAAAAGAACACATTCCAGAAAACGAACCTTTTCTGTTCAATGCTTAAAAAAGAATGAAAGGCTTGAAAGAATGAAAATGAAAAGTACAGCATATTTAATCGGCATCACAAATTATCTCTCCTAGCCCGCGTTGGCCCTAACAGGCAGGGTAGAAGCAGCCGGCCTAGAACAATGATCTAAATTGTGTTGGTGTCGACGTAAAACTAAAACACGTAATATCATTGAAACGGCATCAGTTAGGTAAGTGTACTGTAAGTGCACTATCAGCCGTACTATCTAGTATCTGTGTGTTTCCTGGCACTTCGGTACTATAGAATTACAAAGTTCAGTCCCAGATTTTTGGCCGGTTTGAGTTACTAAAATCATGAGGTTCGAAACCATAATGTGTTCTATCTGCTCTATCAAAATCTTACGTTTGTTCGGAGTCATTGTCAATATTCAAAGAATTGCATCCGAAAAAAACTTGACATGTTTTGAAACTCAAAATTTGTTACGTCAGATTTCTCAAAACTAGGTACTGAGTCTAGATCTAGATCTATATTAGTGATGGAACAAACTGCTTGCTTTATTGAAAGCGTTCGTCTTTTGCGTTCAACATGACCATGCCCTTATCTCTGTAAGAACCGCATTATGATCATTCGAAAACTCTTGAAGAGGCTTTGTTTTGACGGTACTTTAAACAAAGATGCATAATTCCCCTGTTTACACATACTTTTCAATTCTCTTTTCTTTTTCTGAAACATGAAAAGGCAGGCAACAAGATGCATACTATGAAATATACAGATGTGTATTTCTGCTTTGGGTACGATGGTCCAAAATGGGCCGCAATATTGCCCTTGGTCTGCTGCCAATCGGACAGGAGTCTGCTACAATCTTAAAAGAGATTCTTACCCCATTGGTACCGCTCCAGTTCTGGTGAATCCCAATTACGATCATCACAAGCGTAGGTCTTCGTAAGAGCGGTGTCCTGAACAGGTCCAGCACGGATATCTAATAGGGAACCAAAATTGTTTCGTAAAACGGACATTCTGAAAGGTTTGTGAATGTGACTATAAATGTGTTGCGCCTGTATCTGTACCTTCTATGTCTCAAACATGTGGACTGCTTCGACCGTCCCTGCTAAGTTCAAAACGAGCTGAAAAGGATACAGCGTCATAACAGACAGACAGAGAAAGATGCCACCCCCCCAAAAACAAAACAAAACAACAACAACAAAACAACCCCCCCCCAAAAAAAAACCCAACAACAACAAAAAACCAACAACAAAACAAAACAATCCCCCCCCCAAAAAAAAACCCACACAGAAAAACAAACCTCGAAACGAAACAGCAACAACAAACAACAGCAACAACAACAACAAAAAACAACAACAAAAGAAAACCCAAAATAAAAAGAAAAGCAAACAGATGACAAACAAACAAACAAACAAGAAAACAACAACAAAAACAAACCAACAAACAACAACAGCAATAACAACATCATCATCAACAACAACAACAACAGCAGCAACATCAATAACAGCAGCAGCAACAGCAACAACAACAACAACAACAACAACAAACCGAATCGGGTGTCAAACTCAAGTCTTTAGGGTTAGTCAAGGAAATGTCTAGGCTACTCAACGAAGACACAAGCACGATGTTGCAATGGTTTCGGAGTTCTCGCCATAGTAGACTTGCATTGTAATTACATCCTTGACAACGCAGTTTTGTTCACCATGAACGTGCCTTTTGACTTAAGAATGTTTTGTTGTAAGAATGGGAGAGGGGTAAGGGGAAGGTGCCGCGCGCACTCTTCAAGAGCGAGACTTGAGTTTTGCCTTTCATCTGGGGGTCTACGATGATGCACGTGACAAAGAGGAACAATAGAGCAAAGAACTGTAGCGGGACCTTCCAATGGCACCTTGCAAACACCACTGACAAACTCATACACACATACACACACACACACACACACACACACACACACACACACACACACACACACACACACACACACACAGAGAAAGAGAGAGAGAGAGAGAGAGAGAGAGAGAGAGAGAGAGAGAGAGAGAGAGAGAGAGAGAGAGAGAGAGAGAGAGAGAGAGAGAGAGAGAGGGTAATGTGTGTTGAGGGAGAGAAAGAGCTAAAGAGAGAGATAATTTATCTGTCTCTGATCTACAGTCTTAGGTGCTATTAGGACATTAAACATATTCAGATATTCCCTTATCTAATGAAAAATGTTATACTCCATATCACAAAGTACCTGAGCTGCAACTTTGGACTCTTCTGCTTCTTCATAAAGTTCTTTGATATCTTCTGTGACATCTGTCTTGCCTCGGAGCCAACGTAGAGCTGGAAGAGCGAAGACAAATCGTGATTTCAACGGAACTTTGTTTTAGATACTTTAAATTAATCCATATCTATCTATCTATCTATCTATCTATCTATCTATCTATCTATCTATCTATCTATCTTTTAAAGTACTTGTGTGCACGCGATTACGCCCAAACTTATCTTTTAAGGGATCAAGAAGTGATTTCCAGCATTTGAGCATTAAACAGTCTGCTAGGTTAGATTATCTGGGGGGGTTTTTGGGTCCTAATTTAGCTGTGATAAAAACATAGACAGAGTTGTTGGTCGCTCTACATGTAGTTCTTGATGTGCATCAGCTATAAATTCACGACATGTGCAGCGCTGAGTAAAAAAGATGAATAAGTGAATAATAGATAAATCAATATATACATAAATAAATACATTTAACAAAAAATAATTTAAAAATGGATGAAAGAATGGATGAATGAATAAATGAATGAATGAATGAATGAATGAATGAATGAATGAATGAATGAATGAATGAAGTAAAAATAATTAGTAGTGCATTACCTTTCGCAGCTCCTTCCTCGTCCTTTTTGTTCATGAGCAGATACCGAGGACTCTCTGGACACGTGGCAAAAAACAGCCCGGTGATGGTGTACACGATAGCCGGGAATGCTGGGGAATGATGGGATGATAAGATAGAACAGAGTGTTATCACGTGATACATGTATAATTCTATTCTGTTCTATTTCTATTCTGTTCTATTTTATTATATTTTAATCTTGTCCATTCGATTCTATTCTATTTCTATTCTGCTCTATTCTATTCTATTCTATTCTATTATTGTCTATTCTATTCTATTTTATTCTATTCTTGTCTATTCGATTCTATTCTATTTCTATTCTGCTCTATTCTATTCTATTCTATTCTATTATTGTCTATTCTATTCTATTTTATTCTATTATTGTCTATTCTGTTCTATTCTATTCTAATCATGTCTCTTGTCATTTCTCTTTTTTACTCTTTTATTTTTCGATTTCCCCCCCTTTTAGTCACTTTAAAAAATGGCGGCGTTTTTATGCCAATCACCCAACTCCCCTCCAATCGACACATTTAGTTCATTTAGGAGGCTGGGTTCAACCCTGACTGTCAGGCTGGGAGGGATACAACGTCCCAGTAGAAAGACGGAGATACTCGATAAAAATTCTCCCCCACACAGGGCTCGAACACAGGTCTTCTGCATGCGACGGCGAAGCGCCTGACCGCTTCTCCACAGACAACCAGTGCGTTGTCAGGCGTTTACACATGGTAAAGTCCGATGTTATCGTTAACATAATAGTCACTCAGTGTATGTCTATGTTAAAGAAGGTTGTTACTAACGTATCCTAAACGCCAAGGAGTAAGGCTATTTTATTGAGGCTTCTCTGCTACCTTTTAGGGTCTCCTTGTGTGTGTGTGTGTGTGTGTGTGTGTGTGTGTGTGTGTGTGTGTGTGTGTCGTGTGTGTCTATCATACGCACACCTAAGTGGCCAAGGGTTACTCATCTTATTCGATAGATATTTCTTCTCATTTTAAAAAGGACCAACTTACCCAACAAGTAAGGCCAGAGCTCTTTTGTTCCCAAGAGCTCCTCATAGGCCAACACCTGACTGATGATGAAGCCGAAGCCCTGAAGGATCATATTGATCATTCCTATAACAGCACGCTGATGGGGCTGACAGAGTTCTGCCACATAGGATGGGCCTATGACACTGAAGCCTAAAAAATACAGATAGCAGGATAAATAAATAAGTAAGTAAGTAAGTAAGTAAGTAAGTAAGTAAGTAAGTAAGTAAGTAAGTAAGTGAGTAAGTGAGTAAGTAAATGAGTGAGTGAGTGAGTGAGTGAGAGCTTGCATGAGTGAGTGAGTGAGTAAGTAAGTTTATTCTGTGTTTAAGGCCATTGGCCCACATCACATCACATAAACCCACTCATTTTCAAAATAAGGCTTCCATAATGAAAACGTACAGGTTGTGCACATATCTCTTATCATGGGTCAAACATTGCAAATTTCTGTCATTGGGCCGAGTCGGGCTGGGAGGTATCAACAATTTTCTGTGATGGGAGCGGGACAAGAGCATTAATCAAGGGCACAATCACATTGAGGTATTATGGAGAACAGACAAAGAGGATTCAGAGAATTAAGAGCGAGGTCACACTGAGGTAGACTTGAGCTCAGACATAAAGGATTCAGATAATTATTAAAGATATGATCGCACGAGGTGATTGTTGGAATGATAGACAGAAGTATCAGAAAAAAATGAGGGTATGCTGAACCAGAGGTTTGATTGAGTTTAGAGTTAGAGGAAAGAGGAACATAAGGAAATGCTCACATTTGAGAAAAAAACAACCCTACATAAAAAGACGTAGTATGCACAAACGTACACACACACACACACACACACACACACACACACACACACACACACACACACGCATACACACACTCACACATACACACATACACACACACACACACTCTCTCTCTCTCACACATACACACATACACCAGTTATGAACCAGTTTCAACAACACTTCAAACAAACAAAATTCTACAAAAGGGATGTTAAATTTGTCAGTAAATTTACTTTTAGCCACGCACCTAACACGAAGCCACCCAAGAAACGTCCAACATACAACATCTCAGTTGACTTGGCCGGTTTCGACAGGCCCATGATGAGTACAGCGGCTGAGCCAAGAACTGTTGTCATCAAGATCACTGGCTTCCTGGAAAACGAAAAATATAAATAAAATAAAATAAATAAATAAACTACATTTCACTGATCCTCGTGGGGGAAATAAGGGTTACAATGGCACACATAAGTACATGTTTAATTAGAAATGCTTACATACATGAATACATATATTATATAATACAAAACCTATGCATAAATGCACAGTATTACACCAACACAGAACAATAATTCACAAACGTGCCATTGCTGGTCCCCACTGTGCAGCACCATGTTTTTTCGGATTGTCGTGTCTTGCTCAAGGACACACCAATCTTAATCCTGTGTCACTGACATTTACTTGAAATTACTTTGAGTCTGAACTCACTGCACACTTAGCCAATGTGTGTGTGTGTGTG